CTATTTACTTGATAAATCAAACAGACACAGATGTATTACTTTGAAGTCTGCCGGCTATTAGTTCCTAAGTACGCTATTCTTTGTGCGGTAGACATCTGAAGAGATCTAAAGAAATACAGCTGGGGGGAGGGGTCGCACGGCAGTTCTGTTATCTGTGTTCCCTGCCATTCCATTAATTGTGATTTCACCTCAACAAAAAGATGCTCTTACGCATCGACAAATGAATAAACCGGATTTCCAATGTTCCTGGAAGAATTTCTGCAAGTCAGGAAGTTGGCACAATGGACTGTCTGCTTGGCGACACATCGATAAAGAAGGATCTCGGAACTGCGTATTTCAGTCTAACAGACGTCGCTGATAACTAATTTGTCAATAACTTATTAATAGGCCGGGTGGTGTGTTGATGTGGCCGAATATACCTAACTTCCCTTGAGTGAAAGTCTGATGGACTTTTGGGCTGGGTTTTTCGGAACCCCGTAATAGACTCTCGCTCCTTAGCATTCCCAGGCTTTCAATCGATCCGATAGGCCAAAGTTGTGTCCAGATACCCAAGGATATGACTGATTTAAACAAAAAATGCACTTTCATAAACTGACTACTTTTCACGCATAAATATTCCTGTACTTGTTTGGATTGGGAATATACAGAAATACTTAATTATGGGCCCACTCTATCACCCATCGTTCTAGAAACCTGGTAATTCCCACTCCACTTTCCACTGGTGACCATACATATCTCGCATTTCACCGTTCGCTGACACATGTACACAAGCCTTTGACCACCGATTATAGGTGGTGAGCAGTGTGCTTGGTCTATCCAGTGAAAATAAACAAGAGTTGTCTAACAGGCTGCACCCGCCACATCGTAAACGTAGTGTCGACATGTGGCAGGGCCTGTCACCCCAACGCTGCAAGTTGCCTCGGCATTACAGGTCACAAACCCTGGATGACCGAGACCGTGCTTTACGGCATATGCAACCGAACAAAGTGAACAGCATTCACTACCCCAAGGGTAAACAGCTTGACCAAACGTTTGCGGACATGGGTGACCATGATCTATCCAGACGGAATCCCAACATTAAAGATGGTAGGAATCCAAAGTCTCGAAATTTAGAAGCACAAAACGCCAACTAATACTGAACGAACTTCAGAATAAAAGTTTCTGAATGTTTTGACCCAAGCAAGATTATTCCAGAGATTGTAGTGTATCATATGTTCGTTCAGTGCGTGCTTGTGTTTAACTCCTACCGATGGAAAAACAGTAAGCAAACCATTTGGGTTTACTGTCGACTCAGCAATTGGGTTCAACATAACACTGTCCTATGACCTAGGATGACTGAGAATAATTTCGTCGCTCCACTTGTGTCACATTTACATTCGTGGTGTACTTACCTGTAGGGACATCAACAGGCTGGGTGCATGAGCCGAATACAGACTTTACAGAAGTTGGTGGACAGTGCATAGCTCTACGGAATCTGTGCTACGTCCATTCACATGGATTGTCTAAACATCAGACTACTGGCTGACTATGTGTGAAATCTGAGAGCAACCCCATAAACGTACTGCATTTCCTTTCCTTTTAAACTCTCACTCTGTGGACGGTTGTTCTGTACAATATGCACGTTTGTCAATAGAATAGCTGGTGAGCACAGCCACAGAAGTCTGAGTTTGAACATATTCTGACATTGGCCCGTGTATTCCGCGTCTCGGTGAAGGGTTTTTCAGCTTGTTTCACAACTCTCCCGTTAGAATCTTCCAAAAGTGACTCAGGTCACCTTTGTCTGCTGTAGGTCAGCTCGAGTATATTCAACTTCTAAAGACTGACCAGATACTCCAGGTATAGAAAACTCACAAGTGCCTGTAAATCCCGAATCCGCAACAAACGCCTACGGTCATCAAATTTAGTGTATGGCGCAACACAGGTGGGAGACGCAGTATATTTACTTTTCCTATTGTACCCCAGACGCCGGAAAGTATGAATCCAGTTTGACCAATCTGGCACCTACGAGAGTGAACTGAAGCTAGTTAGAAGGAAGTTACAGTTTTGTCTCCCCTTATCATCCAACCGTTGGCGTACCAATGACAAAGAATATGTAAACATCAGAGTCCTGTTGACAGTTCAACAGTGAGATTTTATTCATTTTCTTAACGGACGGTTTGGCAAACCAAATTCAAAATACACTTCTTACTGTCAAGAACAGAATGTGAAATGCATTCAGAAAACGCAAATAATAGCAATGGCCCTATAGTAGAAAGGAAATATCGTTTGATATCTTATATTCAATGATTCTATTTGTAGGTTGCGTCCTCTAAGACTGTGAGCAGCTGTCTCATCGTTTGAGTTCAAAAGAACTTCCATTTCGAAAAACTAGACTTTAAAGCGCTATAGATGTGACATTTGTGCCGACCAAAAATTTCACTCCCAGCTTAGAAACTGAGCTGTTATTTAAAGTTTGACGAGACCCTGATTTCTCCCTCGAAGCTTCACACTCATTGCTGTTGATAGGTAGGATAGTGGAATATTTGAAGACCACAAAGCGGGTTTTATGTGAAGACTGTCAAACATGAGAGACCAATCAATAGTGGTTCACTGCGCCAGTATGCTGCGTAACCGTGTGTGACACTACTAGCCCATTAGAAGGTTCCGCGCTTTGCGTGTAAAAACACTTGCCTGACTAATCTAAATTACCAACACATATCTACTTCAGCGGAAGAGGAAGCAGGTGAGTTATCCACAACAGTATCTGGAAGTTTACTCTGCGAACCACTTCCATGACTAGACATATTGTTTCTACTCACAAAGACATTAGTTTCCTGCATTTGCTTTTATGCAAATGTCCACAGACGTAACACGTGATTGATACCTTTTCTCATTGTTGTGTCGTTTGAGTGAAGTTAGTTAGGAAATTTGACACGCTTTGAACAAGCTTTGAACGAAGCTTTTGTGTCAAAAGCGAAACGTTGCCCAGCAATAAACCTACCGACTTTCACCAAACTTTTTCGAAAACGAAAAATTGGTCTACTTACATCACTCGTCTATACCGGGTAAAACGTCCGTCATAAAAAGAATGTAGTTTTTCTGTGAATGCAGTTTGTGGAGACTTTTAGATCGTCACCGGATAAGCAATGTTGAAAAACGGTGTCGTCGAAATCAAACAGTTAAAATCATCGAAATCACCCAAATGAAAACGAGACCGGACAACGTTTCAGAATATACACCTCGACCAGTTTCTGGATGGTCTGCGGAGCTTAGTGAATTATCTGAGAAACCTGCTACTAGGATCAGCTTGAATTAGTCTTAACAAGCTATTTTTGTACCCTTGGGGTGTCAAAGTATTTCAGCTGATGATGATCATAACTTGCATATTCGAAGTAGACATTATCCGTTGTAAAAAACTCCCACCCATCAGCGGATTCGTTTTGAACACTAGCAGGCCTAAAACCACACATGTTAGGCAAAATTCGTGAATATTGAAGCAATCGATACGCTACTTTGGGGTACGGAAGTCAGGTTGAGTAAAAAAGATTTTACCACAACATTGGTTAAAAGACTCTGCGAACAGTGCATCTTTGAAAAGCATAGTAGCAGGCAAATTTCGGCAGGTCACCTTTTTTCATTTATTCATCACTCAAAAATTTACTCTGTATGTGGCCAAGTTCCCATTGAATGGCCCCCTAAAGAATGATCATTCCGTATTTTCCTAATGAGTGGGAGCTTAGAAAACTGGGAAATGTGTAAGCGGCCATCGAAGGTAGTCGGAATGCTACTTCGATGCGATGGTTTTGAAAAAGATAGATGTGATGAGTCTGTTTTCAGGTAGTAATGCTACTAACCAAGCTTCAACTCCAAGGAAGATTCGTCTTAATTAGCTACTTATATGTAAGAGACAAATGACAGTGGCCGGTCATCTATTACCGTAGGCCACTGTTTTGGTGCATGACGAGGAACGTTGCTGAAGTGCCGAAGAAACGTTGTACACTTCTGGAAAGAAAGGAGTATGAAACACCCCACAGCCTCGTGAACCAGGCCTGTCAGATTTTCCTAGCCGGATGAAAGAGATATACATTGCTTTCTAGATTTTCAGAGTACATTCATCTTAATGGTCGGATAAAATCCATTTTTTTAAAAACAATTGGATTGTTCCACCTATCCACTAATATGAGCAACATGCTCATGAAGGAAAGTTAGGCTGTGCTCTGAACTTTCGATGCTCGGGGGGTTAGCCAACCTCGAATAACTCGATCTGCAGCGACTGATAGAGGAATAGTGGCACCTCAACTCATACTAATAAAATGTAATTCCCAAAGTTTCTAAAGCCTTTCACATACTTTGCAATCACTGCTCGCCGGACTAACATTCATTCTGGCAGTATTGATCAATGCACACTTCAGATAACGGCGAGGTCGGTGAGTCCTCTACAACAATACGTGAAAGGATTCATCGCTCTATACGTGTGGATTTTTAAATTATTCTCAGAAATTCAATGATTGGCAGAACGACCCCTTAAATCTTTGCCTCTGGTTTCTCAAACTCCCGTTAGATTTGACAAAATACTGGTCAAGAGACGTTTGACCTAAACACGGGAATCTCATCTGAGGTGGAGTAATATTTACATTTAAAGTTTCAATTTCATTGGGGGATCGGATGTTCCATTGGATGCAATTAAGGGGAACATGGGGAAAACCGAGGACTATTTTCATGTGGTCCAATTCAGTGGTTTTCGCAGACTGGAACGAATCTAATAGACCTAGCTCAATCTACAGTTGATGCGCTAAGGCGCATGTTTCGTTTGAGTGAGACCAACCTGTTTCGAGGAAATAATCCTTAGTCTGTCCTTCTTGAATCTTCCTTACCCAGGACAATATGTATAAAACAAATATTTGAGCAATATTTCGTGTCCGCCGACTTCCTGAACCCGTTTGTTGGTGCCCATGTCATTTCTAACCTTTTAGTTTGGACGTTACCTATCTCCGGGTTGTGTTTTTATTTATACTATCCAGAAAGATGAATAGCTCCACTGTAGCTGCACATCATTATGCATTGCCACTTTTCTCAACTCAAGTTGATTTAGAGGATAACACGGGTAAGTAGCGGTTGGAGATATGCTTTTCCAGACCTATCTAGGTTTAACGCAATCCAATAATGCTTTCACCTATGTTTTAGTCCTCATTTGTTTTGGGACTCATTGAAAACTAAAGGCATCTCTGTTATATCTGACCTCTCCCCGCTGCAGTGGCTAGTGACGAAGAAAATAGCAGCCCACAAGGACCTCAACAGCTTAGCTGCGGACAAACAAGTGAGTGCGAAAAATACAACGGCCTCGCGCTGTATTATTAGGGCCATTGTTTGACCTCGATCCAAGGCTGTCTGTCAGCATCACCCACGAACACTAATCTCTGTGGGGCTTTCGACGGATAAACTGATATTTTGTCGTGGTGACCATGCTAAGTTCACCAAGAGAAAAATATCTGGTGTGGTTCGCTGAGTTCAGCTACTTTTCAGCGTCCTGTAACCTTTGCCCTACGTTTTCCTTCTGGTCATAAGCGCAAACTTGGAGTTCAATCTCATAAGACTATTTATCATATAGTGTAACTGAGTACATGGCAAGCATTACCTGTAAACTACTGTAGCGGAAGGACGGAATTCCACGTTGGTTGTGTACTGCAAATAGTCAGACATGCAGACAACAAGTCACTGTGAATATGTACGAAGTCATCGCTCACGTAGAACTCGGTGTTGACACTCTTGTGGTGTACACTTGCCGTAGGTCGAGCGTCTTATTCGTCTCCAGGCCCTGCGGTGTATGCAGTGTGCGTCGGTCATGGACGTTCACCATCCATAAGGCTTCCGTTGACGACTGTGTTCTTCTTGGCAGAACATACAAAGGGACATATTTCTGCATAAATGTTCTCGATGATGTTAGTCCCCTTGGCATAATCTGATTTGCCAGCGACTAACGACGACCGTTTACCTGTTTTTTGATGGCTCATCCAATAGACGGCATACTTATCACACCTTGTTCTGTGTCTCCTGGTGACATAATTCCTTATCCTTCTGGAAAACCGGTGCAGACCCTCCTGAACTTTTCACCAAATTATATGTCAAGGGTAAATGAAATCTCCATGAAATCATTGAAACTTGTGGGAGCAGAAGCTTCAATTCTTTAAATGGCCAGGTTAGAGCATCTGATGAGGCCCTGTAATAAAGTTTAAATTTCTTATCTGCAGGCTTTCAAAGAGTCTGATTTCTTTCCTTGGCATATGAAAACTTGGCCATTTTCGATGCTTCAGAAGTTAGGATTCGAAGTCCTACTGGAAGACTGGCAAATAACTAAGAGAATCCGAAGAAATTGTGAATTTCTCCTTTGCCAGTTAAGTTGGGATTCCAGCACAAAGCACAGTGTGATTCTAAGGTCCAACTCGGATTGCGCTGCCCCTCTTGGCTGGTAAGATAGCATGAAAAGAATTGGATGATTCGGAATAGTAAACCTTAACGTTTCGAGTGCTTGACTTTCAGGATCTCGTATGAAATTGATGGCAAGTTTGAGTGAAGTCTTGGGTGAGAGTTGCGGTACCTAAAAAGTCGAAAATGCCATCTGTTCGGGACAAACAAGCTGATGATTTTCAGAAGAACGTTCCGTGACTGCGGCTGAGAGTCTTCACCACATAATATTTTCAAATGTCCTTAATAAGGGATTGGGATGCACTGTTCCAGAGTTAAATCAAAACCCTGTTAACTGCCAAATGAAGTAATGGGTGACCAACAAAACACAGGACCAATGTCACTTATTTCCTTGAAAAAATTATAGAGAATTGCGCTAGCTCATCTCCATCTGCACACTTCATACCACCTGTCTATTCTTTCCAGCCACACCGGCAGTTGAGAGCTCGACAAGTTGGTTTATTTTATTGATTTTAGTTGTCCTTTTGATTCTTTTCCATAGGAGGTATTTCAGTCCCCAGCCTTCGCTTCTTTATTCAGATATTAAGAGAATTCAGCACAAAGGTAGTTGCATAGATATAACGATACTCTTTCGGTGCCTGGTAATCCGTTTAGCTCGAACTGACCTGTCATCTCAGCATCTCATGCTGCTACAGCTAATTTATCAAACAATCAGTACGGAGCTGATGCACAAGCACAACAGCAACCAGGTCTACGGAGTATGCCTTTATCTACAGACAACGTGATGTCTGCATGAGTTCATCATTGAACTGCACGCTCGATCTACAAATAAAGCAGGATGGAATAGTCCAAAGATTCATTTCAAGATTCATTTGAAAGCCTACCGGCCTTGAAATTCAATTTTCTATTCTTGGTGAATCGTGACCTACAGTTTTTTTGAAACAACTCTATCTCTGAACGTGAGGTATGACCGACTAAATCACCTGGGGTAATTTAATCATAAATTCATATAATTGTAGTTGGAAATATCTGTTTTTCCTTCCTTTGGACATTCAAGAACATGGAGGATGATGGAGTCATTTCAAATGGCAGTTTATTTATCACGTGTGTTGCACGTATGAATGCTTCCTAATGACTGAAATCATGAAAGCTACTACTTACTCATTGGTTAGTCAGTAGCCGGATATATCCAAGGAAATTAAGTGAGAACAATCGGCGTACTGGGAGTGTCCTTTGGCGGTGATCGTAAAAATAATAATAATAATAATGCCGCAATTGTCAACACACTGGTATTAAACAACCCAGGGGAATTTTCAGTACGTATTGCAGCAATCCTCCCCAGAGTGTTCATTCCTTGCCTCAGTCTCGTGATGATCCTCCTGGCTAATTCCTGCGAATATTGAGGAACAAACGGCAGTACAATAACCCTAAAGGAACTATCAGATATTCGGAGAGAGCCCCGGGATCTGCAAAAAGACGGCAACTCACTTTATTATCCTGCTCACTATGTCCTGGTATTAACTTGTGACTCACACTGTCAGACCGACCAGGGACTGGATTCATCTGACTGAACGTATTGCCCCCTAATGTATAAACTCATTTGCATACGAATGTGGTTATGATGGAAGGCACCTGAAACCCAGGTGAATCTCTCATTCGTGATGGTCGCGGACAACTAAGTGTGCTGCACCAAGCCGCCCCAGGTTTCGCTTGGTACGATACTTGAGTTACACAGCTTGGGTTTCACCAGGTAGGCGAACTCCCAGGGTTTCTGTCAAACTTATGTTCCACATGAACTCAAATTACACCAAATTCGACTTATACACTCACTTGCATACCAAATCGATTTTGAGAGGACACTACCTGTAATTCAGTTGAACCTCTCGTTTCTGATGTTTGTGTAGTTTGGCTTCAAGTAGAGTATAAGTGTGAAAGAAACTCAGGGGTGTTACCCTTAGCTGATGCACCCCATGAAGGGCGAAACAGACAAGCATATTGGTTTCCAAGTAACTGTGGCGCCTGTTGGATGTATTTGAAGTTTGTTGATTTTGTACGATAAATTTTACATGCGCCATTCTTGAAAGAACCTTAGCAAGACTCAAACTCTCCTAACTGATTTTTGTATTTGGTCCTTCGAAGATTATTTTCGGCAAGAAGAGGGTGAATACGGAGCAAACACTCGTAAGTTGGGCTCATGATTGACGCGTTTCGAAAAGTGTGGAAAAATTTGTCTCATTTGATTTCATTGTTGCCAGGTTGTCTGCAAGTTTCCAAGTCCGTGACGAACATAAGAAGGGCCAGCTTACATCGCTGTTGATCTTGTTTGAAACCACTTGTTCAATCGGAAATCCCTAAGTATGTGCTTTCATCAAAAGGATACCTTATCAGGATGAATGCCATTATACTGTGTCCTCAAAACAACGTATGTGCTTTCATCAAAAGGATACCTTATACTGTGTCCCCAAAACAATTTACACTAGGGGACCAACTAACACAAAAGCATATGGTCCGGATAAACTGCCTACCCTGGAACATTCAAGCGGATCTCCAAACCGGTTTTATATCGAAATGGGTCGTGTATTGGGTAGAATTAAAGTAATTTCTGGTGTTGCTTGTGCTTGACTTCTGTGATACCGCCAGTGCAACCTCGGTAAATGTGTAAACCCGAACCTTACCTGATGACTGGATCAGTGATGTCTCCTCTCATATTTTCACATGGCTGAAATGTGGCTCGGTGTTGGCCAGTTTGACGTGAACTCAGGATGTCCTCCCTGACGTTTTGAGGGAAGAAATGAATTCAGCAATCCCAACATCCTAAATGCCTTCCAACATTTGGAAAAACTTTCTTTTGTCGCTGATTCGTGGCTGCATCCATCTACAACCTGTTCATATTCCTCCGTCATGGAACGTATGAGTACAAAAGCTTGGGTTATGTTGGCTTCATATTCAACAATTAGAATTGAGTTGAATTCGTGCTTTACGTTAAGTATTAAAGTTGTGGCAACAAACTTAATTCGATATCTCCGAAATCATCCGAAGTAAATCGCGAGGCGGATTTTCCGCAGTACTTTTAGTTAAAGCGTGTGGTCAATCGAAGGTTCAGCTTATGCCCAGCTGAGTCTCTCGTAAACTTCAATGTAACGTAATTTAGTTCTGTGGCCAACTATATTTTGATGTGCAGGTGCAATACAAGGCTTGTGATAACTCACACTCTACCCCTACCTGATGGGGCTCAAACAGGGCGAACTAATAGGGTACGTTTCAAAAAAATTTCAGCAAAATTACGTAGTTAGCGTTTGGTATTCAGTGATCCCTTCCGGTCGTCATAGAATGTGTGACACAGACTGTCCTCCTGGAAGACAAATAGTGAAATGCGGCACTTGAAAACACTTCATGTGTAGTTTAATATCACCTCAAAACTTCAAGCACAATCGCTTCTACAAGGGGTGGAGGGGACCCAACCGGTCTAACCGGCATTTCTGGTACTTTGCTAGGCAAACGTATCTTTTGGATTAGTGGATTATGAGTAATTGGAACCCCTCCATGTTGAGTCTCAAGGATTCAAGACAAGAATGTTGCCTGAGGCTTTGCGGGTTCAGGGTTCCGCAATGATCACTGTGAGTACTCTGTTTCCTCAATTCCGGTTTATTAAACCGTTTCTTTGAACAAACCCAAAATAAT